TGCGATGTGCTGTTGACCATCGACTCCACTCCGGGCACATTGTCTTACGGCGGTCTGTGACTGTTAACTGTTTTTACGTGTTGCATAGTATGTTTTATTGTGCCTCCTTCTGTTTTACATTGTGATTGATCGGAAACGACACATGACCGTGAGCTGATGATAGTTGTAGGAGTGGAAGGTATCTAGGAAAAAATGCGAAACACAGGACCCATGGTCGGCTATCGACCCCTCAGGCCTCCAAAAGACAGCTTCAGCAGCACGGGATTTCGATGGCGTTGAGCACAAGTACCAAGTCACGAGTCAATTTAAAAGTTTTACTCTGCTGCTTATATTTGACTGAAAATAACATTGATCAGTGGAGGAAAACAAATGTACCAATGCAATACACAGTGAGCAATGTTCAACCGTCCATAGACTACGGACCAGACGGATGGAGAGAGTAAATATTGCCGTACTACGCAATACCATTGATTTATCTCCGCGAGGTTAGTATTGATCCGCGATTACCCTAATTTCGGTCGAGTGTGTTAAAAAATTGTTGGTTTTTGTTCACAGAATTAGCAAGTGTGCAGCCGGGCTTATCGTGGGACGAATAGCATTGATCTTCGTTCCAACATTTACTTCAGCTGTGATTCACTAAATGGCTGATAACAGCTCTTTAACGCTACACATGATGCGAATTTCATTGGCTGTAGAAAAGTAGACCCTGGCCGCCCAAAAGAGAACGAAGCACGTAGCTAGGTGCTACCGATGTAGAGAAAAAGAGCAAAAACGGGGTTAAGGTTACTCGGTGAATCTACCGAATCAGAAGAACTCAAGGCACAGTATACCTCATGATATTTCGTGTGTAAACTTTTGTTTGGTGTGTATGTGCGAAAAAATAAAACATCAATGTTCTGGTACAATGTGAGGCAACGAGGGAGAAGAGAATGGGGTAAAGCAAAGAAAGACTGTTTTTCTGTTTCATTCACCTCATGAACCGAGGAAAATAACGACCAAATGGTCACCGCCAACTGCTGAACAGAGACGTCACAGTTTGTATATATATTCGTGGAGGGAATAGATCAACAAGTGTTCCAATGGTCAAACAAAATAGTAGGGCGCAGGGAAACTGGAACTCTGTTGATCAGAGGGGCGGGGGCAGGATCATAGGCAAGCCGGAACAGTATCCGAGGATACGTATCCAATCACGATGTGAACAACTTTGTGAGATGAATATGCAACACGAGGAGTTGCAGAAACGACTGCAAGGCACCGGTTTTCCAAACATTGGATAAACTGCGTGTTTCGATTCAACGAACAAATCCATCTAGCAAGAACCGGCAATTGAGATCCATATGGTGGATTGGTGGGTTGTAAATTGAATTCGAAATATGATGGATATACGGTCAATCGTCACACAGACTCTGAGGAAGGGCGATGATTTTCATTCCAAACGGCAATCCGTTGATCCAGAGAATCATATTCAATTCTCAAAGCCTCTAGATCACTCTGGAAAATTACAGGAAAAAAACAGACGAATCAAGTCGTGGTAGTAATTTTGTTGTGATAAAAGCAGTAAGTGATATCAGTAACTAAGCGATTTCTTGGTGGAGGTCTGTTGAGACTGATTTAACACACGGTTGCACTTGTTAAGTGGAGTTTACGAATGGATGAGCTTTAAGGGAAGAAAAATCAACAAGTCCCTGTTTCAAACATCATCTGATATTCATTCATTAGCAACAGATGCTTGTGAAAACTTGGTGAATTCGATGCCGGTAAGCAGTTGGAGTAGATAACTTTGAACGAGTATCGTGGATATTTAAAGTGTGCATTGCGGCGTTGTAATGAAAAGATGCAAAGGAAACATTCAAGTGTTTTTGTAAAGGCTGATGTGTTTTATCTACTGCCCAGGGTTATCGACTGACCCAAACCAGCCAAAGTTCATGTATCCCAAGCTATAAACGATCGTCTGCAATTATATTACCCATTAGCCAGTGTTTCTCCCTAGCATCAATCCAAAAACGATCTCACTAAAACGATTGGCAATAAAAAGAAAAGGAGTATCGATGTCTTAGAGTAAAAAGAACGGACTATACCTACTGGGATAAATAAATTGATAATATTGCACTGTGCCTACATTTTTTGTTGTAGTATCTTCATTGAAAATAGTTTTATGCATCGTCGATTAATTTCACAATTACCGATTGACTGTGATTTCATCGATCATAGTACAAGAAACAACTGTTGTGGTGTTCTCGTTCGGGAAACTGAATCGACCAATTTGAGAGACCTCCTAATTTCAGCGCGCAGTGTGGGAAAACACACCTCCGCTCTAAACTACAAAGAGTGCAGCACGACCCAGACTGTCTGATTACGGAATGCTTTGATGATCACTGGATAAAGTAACAGATTTACTCACCTTCAACGACGAGGCATCAAAATCCACCTCAGGGTCTGAGTCGCACTCTTCTACCCACTTCTCGACTTGTGCCAGTATTTCATCTTTTTTCAACTGAAAGTGGTATAAGACAACCTGGAGAAAAACGACAGATGACAAGGAACCGAGTCAAATAAAAAAACTAGAACCAGCATATAAAGAGTATTTGAAAACAAATTCGTTTCATGGAATGATTTACAAAACAAGGGCAATGAGGACCGGTTTGCTGTTGGTCTTTTTCGCGTTGTCTATCAAATGTTGCATGGTGCACTTGTTGTATCCAGGATTAAAAAAAAACAGTTACATTCTGTTGAAAACATGATGGCTGGCACGGTTCAGCAATTACGATCTCGGATCGTTCAAGGTTATGGTTCCTCAACAAGTCTGTAAGAATTGAAGGGGACCACTCCTGATGGTCGATGAATAAGTGACACAAAAGCTACAATTAGAATCCCCAAACGGAAAATTAGTTAAGCTCATGGCTCGACTAGCTCAGTAGGTTAACTGTATGAAGTAAAAGATCAATGCAAGCCAACGGAAATTTCATGTTGTTTTGCTCATTATTATCAGTATATTAGGCTTCTAGTGAGGAGTGAGAGCTTTGATTACGAGCAACACGAATCCAACGGTAGGATGACTAGAGTTTCGAACCACATCTTGATAAACTTTATTCAAAAGTTCAGAACGATTTCCAGTAGAGGGGATGAAACCAACATTCATGAGAACCTATTAATCCGTATTAATGACTGGCAATCTAAACTTNCTTAATAACTTGCAGCAGATATAGAGAAGTTGCAGTAGGATAGAAGTGGCATCGGGCTTAATGATAACGAATCTATCCACCATTGTAGATAAATGACGCTAGTGGGACATAAACCTTGGACCACAAAACACAGTGTACGCCATTGACAGCGACGTACACAATCCGACATGAAATTATACGACAGTCGGAAATGGACTGTTTTTCGACACGACGAGTTTTAAGAATACCGCAACAGACCAACAACAGGAATCATGGAACAATCATCTCATACAGGAATAGTTCATGTGTTTCCACAGCGATTTTTTGTGTTGGTCACTTCGATGAATCGGATGTAAACTTGACCAGCACCGGGGGAAAGGCGCAGAATGATACTAAGAACCAGAATCATCATTACAATATCTGATGAGTATAAGACACTTACCGCTTCGAATCCGGCAGGTGGATTACGCATTTGCTCCAGTATTGCCCACCGAACAGTTGCTTTCCGGGTCTCTAAATTGTACAACTTGCTATCGTGCATCAGTTCTACATGGTCAAAAGCGGATTCCATGCCAGGTTCATTGAAATACGGCTCGGGGACGAAAATCAACGACTGAATTGAGATGAGAACCTAAATTAGGCAACACAGTAACAGAGAGATGATGGCAAATTACTTGTTTACATGGTGCCAAAACGACAATATTATTGATGATAACACAAACCATCCCATTTCACAGAATAGGTTTAAAGTAAGCATTTCAGTGTTTTAACTATTGTTAGATGATGTTTACCAGTGCTGCTGTAGTGCCCTTGCATCGCAGCAAAGCATCTGACTTCATGGAGCGGTTGAAGACAAACATGTTTGAGGTTGATTGGTATTGGAACATATGAATGAGTTGAAACGAACAGTCAACTTGAAACAATATTTCATCATTCGAGCCTACTAAAGCCTCACTATAGTCGGGAATCGGTGTCTCGGGTTGTGGCTGGTCACCCTTCCCTTGCACAAGGCGAAATGCTCCCATACCACCAGGCGTCTTATATAACCTGTGCATAAGAAGCCCTACTCACGGCCTTCAAGTCGTAGAAGTGTTTAGTCTCCAAAAAGTGCGGTCAGAAAGACAGCTTTTTGGGTTATAATCCTATCAGTGAACCGGTGGCGGCTCACCTAGGGTATTCCGCTCAAGACCCTGATTCCAAACCAACCAACAGGTGTACGAACCGGATAAACAACTTCCGGGTTGTGGCAGTGGTCACCGGCTCCTACGCGCTGGATGATCTCCGAACTAATAACCTCCGCCAGTCGTTATGCACCACCCTAGACAGAAAAAGCTTTCAGCCATTTTCAGTGTCACTAACCGACAAAAATGCAGACAGACTCATGCTACCCTTTAAGGGTATACCGGCGTACTAATAACCTACAACTTCAAGGAGGAAGCTCAAGGCCAGAGTTCATGTTGAGTAACGCCTTCTGGAGAGCATCATCTATGGCGAATTTAAGGAGCGATAGAGAGATGGAGGAGCTTTGTCTCATCCCAATAGTGACAGTTCTACAGGGTAGACCAATTGAAGGAGTCAAAGACCGCTCTGACGGTCAGAAATATGATTATACTCAGTCCCGGTGTTCCAAGAGTGGATCTATGTAACTACGGCATATACCGAACCCGGGCTTCTCTTCGTGGATCTACTCCTAGCCAGTTAAAGCGATTCGGCGTCAAAAACAACAGACCAAAAGATTTTACGCGATTGGAAGAAATACTGCGACGAAATAGCAGTCACCTTCGTTCTCAACGTAGGGCAGTTTCTTCATTCCAGATCTGGGAAAGCAGTTCAACACACTTTCTAACGACAAACTTTCCGCCATCTTACAAAATAGACAGTGGAACGTAGTTTGATCTGATCGCTTATTAGTTTTGTGGCTCGGGGCGACTCCTGGATTTTCGCTGCTGTACGACGTTCCATTGGTAGGAACTAAGGCGCACTTTAAGAACTACTTGGGGTAGCCTGCGCTACTTTGTGTGCTTTGTTTAGCCTTTCATGTGTCAGTGAACGCTTTACATATTGGCCACCCTCCTAATTCGCAAATGGTTTCAGTAAGACAGTGCGTATTCCCTGAGAAGCGTGGCAAAACGGATTTGATTACTCTATGAATTCTTGATAATAAAAAACTTGCTATCAAGGTTTACCAAAGTAGACTTGCTAACTCACCTGAAGAAGCGAAGAGGTGGTCGGATCCCATTTCTCCTCTGGTGCTCCTTGCCACGTGTTTAGGATAGATAGACACACCATCCCATTTTGATACAAATTGGGATTGAAACGGACCGTCCCATTTCCGGTGGTTAACAGATGAAACTGGGGCGGTGAGTTCGGATAGTCGATGGGAGCGAAAATGTCAAAGACAAAACAACCGTTTGCGTACGGCGTATCTACTGGTCCGGTAATCAATGCCTGGGAAAGAAAATGGAGGAAGAAGCTAGAAAGCTAAGAACTTGTTTGAAACGGTCTTGAGAAGCACAAAACAAGTGATCCATCACAGATCCTAACCGTCTCCCTTATTCCAGCCACGTTCATTCGGAGGAAATTCGGGATCCTCGAAGTACAGACTGAATTCTGGACAATATTGGAGANGGAGAACGTTGGAGACGTGCTCAAAGCTAGTAGGTACAACAACAAAAATCTTGCAAGTACGTGACAATAGCATATCTAATTTCCGGATGGAATGATTTAGGTTATTTTATATGATATTGTATTGTTGTGTGTAGACGATCGAACAGGAATCCGTTCTCCACTAAAACATAAGTTAACAATTAATAGTCACATAGGTTTCAACTATCCAGACGAGATAACCTTGAGACACACGAAACTGGCACAAACAACTCAATCTCTCACAGTCACAAGAACATAATTATTCAGCGGAAACAACCAATTCCAATAGCATAATGAACAAGATACGCTATCAATAGATTACTGCAAAATCTGACTGTAGCGAATGGACAACGGAGAAGAAAGAAATTGGATCACTACTAACACGTTTTTATGGAATTTCAACGTGAACCGCCGACAGTGTTAGTTCGTCGCCTTCCACCGTCGTCCGAGGCAAATGATAGTCAATCCATGTTAGTGACAGCCAGTCATGCAGTCGTCTGACTCCATATTTCATTATCCAAACTGAAACACTATGTAGCTTGTTAATCTAGCTAAACGTGTGATGACTGCCGACAACCATACCGCATACTATGAGGCTTTTCATTCTACAGTGCGTGATGCAAAGCTATACTAAGTTTATTTTTTAACTCGAGCGAATTCAGTGCAGGTATTAAAGGTTAACGGCAAGGTTACATCTGAATTTGATGTGTTGCCGCCAAAGTGACCATAGCCTGTTAGAGTCTTGTCCGGTTCGCCACCCAAACCCCCAGGTTACTGGTTTCTGTTGCCGGTCCTCGTAACTAAGGTGTTTACCCCCCTGAGATAAAAAATAATTTTGACCAAAAACAGTATTCATGTGTTCCTGGAAGTATTTAGAGCCTTGAAAAAAGTTTTTCCAATAGGGAGTAGTGAGTGGGCGACTGTGATTTTGCTGCGTTCATAGTCGAGTGAAAGTTAGTCAAAATGTGGATAAGCTTTTGAAGCTAGTCGAGAACGCGAAAATCATCGCACACTGATGAGCTCCAAATGGACCTGGACTAGCAGTTGCGACTGAAAGATCTGATTGGGATAGGGAGACA